CAGTGCTGCCTCATCAATGCACATCAGTGAAGGAGAAAAATTACCTGTTTGCAAAATTTTATAATAGAAACAAAGAAACTTTTTTTTTAATTTTTTGCAGTTTTTTTGTTTATAGTGCAAAAAGTAAAACACCCAGCGACGAGTAAATACCACCAAAAGAAATCTCTATTTTGTGAGAAAAAAATTATATAAATTTCATATGGGTACAATCTTGCATAACCGCGCCAATTGTCAATTGTCAATCAAAGTGCGACAGTGCTGAAAGCTGAAAATTGGCCTGGTAAAGAAGGGGGTATAGGTGCCCGGTAGGCAATTGGATAATTAGGGTGCAATGTAAGATGAGGCAGTTTTTTATAATGAACTAACAATTGGAGCAGCTACAAATATTGTCCAGCCATTGCACAGTATGTAAGCAGCCTGATTAGGCAGCAAGTTAAGAGGGAGAGATGAGGCAAATACCACAAAATGAAAATTATAGTGTGTTATTTTAGAGATGATAGCATAAATATTTTGTTTTGGCTGGAAAGTATTTAAGCAGCTTGAATGGGTCACAAATAAAATGGGGGAGACAAGGCAGGTTTTTATCATGAAGAATCAAACAAAGAGTATTGTTTCAGAGACAATATCCAAAAATATTGTACAGTCACTGCATGGTATGTGTAAGAATAAGGCAAGTTTTTTTATGATTAAAACTACACTAAATGTAAACAGCTTTATTAGGTTGCAGTATAAGAGGGAGAGAAGAGACAGGTTTTATAATGATATAAAATTAGAATGTATTATTTCTGAGACAATAGCCACAAATATTGTATGCTTGCCGGGGAGCAGATAAGCAGCTTGATTGTTCTGCAAAGTAAGAGGGAGAGAAGAGGTCTAAACATTACAGTGTATTGTTTCAGTGCCCCAAATATGTGCCCTGGAATAAGCCACAAACTATTAAACTCAAATCACAATTTATCCTTCTAAAAAACATTAGAAATTTTGCAGCTGAGGCCTAGCCACAGAAATATTATGTGTAGCTTATTTACAGTGCCAGAGCACTGGAATAGGGCAAGAGAGGACTCAGTAGCTTCCAGTGATGACAGGCCAGCAGGGGAGCTGATCATGGTGGCAACAGAAGGAAGGCAAAGGTAGAAGGCACTGGTAATAGTGACAGGCCAGTGGAGGTTGAGAGAGCTGGTATTGGTGCCAGGCCAGGAGAGGAAGCAGAGACTTGTAATGATGACACCAGCAGACCAGCAGCGGTGGCAGGCACTTGTAATGTTGTAAGGTACCATTTATTTGAGGGAAATTATCATTATAATACTCATCTTGTCAAAGGAGGTGGTGCTTTCCAGTAAAGAAAAACTAAATATTCATAATGAAAAGTTAACATGCCATAACAGACAATGGCAATATAAGGTATAAGTAAGAACCAAAGTATTGCAAACTCAAAGGAGACCAACAAAAAAAAAAAAAAGAAAAGAAAGTGGAGGAGGAGAGGAAAAAAAAGGAAGGGGGTGGGTAGAGAGAGAAAGGGGGTAGGGATAGACCTGGGAACTAAACCTAAAAAGAAAGGAAGGGAGTCATGATTGTGGTATCCTGTTGCATAAAGTAAAGGGTAAGAGCTGGAAAGATGGAGGGCAGAATGAAGATTATGCATAAGTTAGTGCTTTCAAGGCATCTGATGAGAAGTAGTGTATCCATACCAACCATAGAGTTTTGAATTTGGCCCATATATCAGAATCCTGCTCTAGAAGCTCTTCCATCTCCAGGATGTCATTGACAAAAGTTACCCATAAAGTGATGGGAGGTAGAAGATTTCCAGAATGTAGATATCAGTTGTCTGGCAGCAGTGTCTTAATAGGCATGCTTTTTGGGATCTCTAAGATCCCAGGACACTGGACAATAAAGCAATTTCTGGTGATGGGGCAAGAGATGTGAAAATACATTTCCCTGTCCTTATTGCATCTCCAGCATATGTCAGAAATCTCTGTAAATATCCAATGAATGGAGACCACTCGCTATACTACCTGGACAGATGTTTGTAATTTTTTTCTTTTGCATAGCAAGAAATGTTGGATTTATGTGTTATTGTTATTATATATTCTTCTCCTGATTGTCGGCATGCAGCCTATATGGGGTGACACCGGACCCGCTCCAAGAAAAGGTGAGTTGTAAAGAAAGCCGATAATCCCCGCAGGATGGATCCGATCCATCCTGCGGGGATCGTTGGCTTGCTTTACAACTTACCTTTTCGTGGAGCAGGTTCAGTGTCACACCTGTGCGGTCAGTGTCATCCGGTGTGGACCGCACCCCCCGCACCTGCCTTGGGACGCCACTGGTAACAACAAACCCAAACTTCATTTCTAGTGCTTAGCAGAAAGGAAGCATGTTATTAATTTACAATTACACTTTACCATACTGAATAATCCTTAAGGTTCAAAACATGCTGAAAGTGAAAAACTACATTTGTTTTCGCTGTGCATGTATTGCACAAATGCGTAAAAGTTGCAAGATACAGTATACACATATGGGAAATAAGTACAAAAAAATCTGTTCTGCTCGTACTGGCACAAGAAAAGTTGACAGTAGTTGTTTTACTCTCAGAATACTATGTATCCACTTTCACAAGGGTACAGTTTGACCATGTAGCAAACCGGACACAGCCTAAAGAACAAATGGAATTCCACTGATGTTTCAGTCATGGTCACCTGAGTAATGAAATAATGTGAAGCCTTTTTGAAATTATATTCAAGTCAGATTTAATAAATTCTACAACTGACAGCTCCTATCCCAGACTCCCCAGAGCAGTATTTCACAGATCTTTCTAATTCTGCATGACTTTCACACAAAGCATATTTTTCATCTCCTCTCTATTCTTTAACAGTAAAGATCTGTGCAACTTTAAAGCATTGAAAAGTTACAAGTGATACCACAATGGCAATGAACAAGCTTATCTATCTATCTATGTTCATCAGACCTTCCGTCCATCCATTCATCCCCAGTCACCATATAAAGGGCTTAGCCACTGAAACTATATGACTAGCTGAGATTAGTGTGCAGTTGCCGTGTTTGTTTATTTCTGGACTTGAGCTCTTTGGCCAAGGATGGTTGTGATAGAAATGTTAGTGGCTTTGGGAACAGAGTCACTTTGCTGTTGGTTTTCAACTACTGGCCCTCCGGAAGATTTACCCCCCTTCATCACTGACATCATGCAACGCTGTACATAAATGAAATGTATGTAATTTTTTCCCCAAAAATAGAGCTTTCTTTTGGTGGTATTTGATCACCTCTGCATTTTTTATTTTTTTGTGCTATAAACAAAAAAAAAGCTGGAAATTTTGAAAACAAAAAAATATATATTTTGACTTTTTGCTATAAAAGATATCCAATAAAAAAATTTAAAAAAATAAAATTTCTTCAAAAATGTAGGCCAAAATATATTCTGCTACAAGCCTTTGGTAATAAGTGTATACTAATTGGTTTACATGAACGTTATCACATCTACAAATGGGGGTATATATATACTGGAATTTTTATGTATTTGTTTCTGTACTAGTAATGGCAGCGATCAGCGACTTATAGCAGGACTGCAGTGGGCATTCTGACACTAACTCACACTGTGTGGAAACTGACTAACTGCCACTGACATCTCTAGTGACACTAATACAGTGATCAGTGCTCATAAAAAGCACTAACACTGTAATGACACTGGGCAGGAAGGATAAGTTTGCCTTTTCGGGCAGAATTTCACTTTTTACAATAAATAGAAGCATTTTCCAAAACCATTTCTGGCCCAGCCATCCCAATGTGCTTTTCTCTCACGTACCACACCCACATTAATTTTTTGTCAGTTTATGTGGGATCTTGAATGGATTTTCAGATTGAATCATTTTCTGTTCGATGATATCTCAGCATTCACTTCCTGTAGACCATCTCCCAGAAGCCTTCACTTCCTTGTTGCATCACAGAAGAGGGTGTGATAGGGACCACACCTCCCTCATTACAATACTACCTTCCTCCCACAAGCTAGGTAGTACAATTTGATACCAATTGAATAGATTGTTCAGGTGTGTCCTCCTATTCCATAGTTCTGGTAAATCTAATGGAAATTGTACAGAGATTGTGCATAGTGTATGGCCATCTTTATACAAGTACATAGGAGGAAGTGGATGGAGACACTCAGTGGTCAACCCTATTCACATCTCCATGTAGTGAAGACTCACATTCCAGCATTTGTTTGTTTTGGACCATTTTCATCCATCACGCACAGGGCAGCCCATTCTCTTGAATGTTCTGCCATACATGCAACAGTCTGCGACAAATTTCCAGGAGGTGAGGTTAACAGGAGGTGTTGTATTCTAAGATACTTGAAATAGTCTGTATCCGGTAGTCAAAATCTCTCAATATCTCCATGGAAAGGGGCATCCCGTTTGACATTATGTTGTCTATGGCGGCAATACCTTTTGATATCCAGTGCTGAAGGTTTATATTTGGTATGAGTGAATGTATTGTTAAGAGAGGGATTTGAAATGAAGTGTCAAAAAGTCTTGAGTAAGAATGACTATGCAATTCTCTCCATGCAAGAAGGGAGGCTCTCATAGGGGGAGAAAATGTATTTAAGCAAAAGTGTTGCCATATGTCTGCAATGAACCACTTGCCTACTGGACACTTATGCCCCCTTCCTGCCCAGGACAATTTTCAGCTTTCAGCGCTGTCGCACTTTGAATGACAATTGCGCATTATGCAATATTGTACCCATATGATATTTTTATAATTTTTTCACACAAATAGAGCTTTCTTTTGGTAGTATTTAATTACCACTGGATGTTTTATTTTTTGCGCTATAAACAAAAAAAGAGCAAATATAGTATTTTTCGCTCCATAAGACGCACCTAGATTTTAGAGGTGGAAAACAGGACAAATTATTCTGAACCAATGGACTGCAGACATGGTACAGGAGATGACCAGAGACTGTGGACATAGTACAGGAGATGACCAGAGACTGCAGACATACTACTGGAGATGACCAAAGACTGTGTACAAAGTGCAGGAGATGACCAGAGACTGCGGACACAGTACAGGAGATGATCAGAGACTGCGGACACGGTACAGGAGATGACCAGAGTCTGCAGACACGGTACAGGAGATGACCAGAGACTGTGGACACTGTACAGGAGATGACCAGAGACTGTGGACACGGTACAGGGGATGAACAAGAATGCGGACATGGTACAGGGGATGACCAGAGACTGCAGACACGGTACAATTTTGACAGGTACCTGCACCCACTTCCGAGGAGTTGTCCTTCCCCCTCCTTCTCCGTAATCTTCTGGGACACGTGACAGATCCCAGAAGATTACAGGGTCATTCACAAAGGGCGATGATTCTCACGCATGTACTGTGGGCACCCTTCTGTGAAGCCACAAGCTGTCACAGTCGGGTGCCCATGCTGGTGCCGGGAAGAGAAGACTGAGGACACAGCTGGACTGAGGAACAAGTAGAACCACTGGAGGTCTGCAAAGAAGAGCCGACATGGAGGGAATACCGGGCCGGCCACTCAATATTCACTCCATAAAATGCACAGACATTCCCCCCCATTTTTTTGGGGGAAAAAAGTGCGTCTTATGGAGCGACAAATACGGTAATTTGAAAAAAAAAAAAGTTTTTCTTTGTTTCTATTATAAAATTTTGCAAACAGGTAATTTTTCTCCTTCACTGATTTGTGTTGATGAGGCTGCACTGATAGGCAGCACTGATGGGCACTGATAGGCAGCACTGATGGGCACTGATGAGGCAGCACTGATATGAAGCAATGATGGGCACTGATAGGGGCACTGATGGGCACTGATAGGCAGCACTGATGGGCAGCACTGACTGATGGCACAGACTGGTGGCACTTTGGTGCCCTGCTGGGCAGCACTTCTGGGTGGCACTGATGGGGGCACTGATGAGGGGCACTGCTGGGCACAGGTGGGTGGCACTGTTGGGTACTGCTGGGTGGCACTGATGGGAACAGGTGGGTGGCACTGCTGGATACTGATGAGTGGCACTGCTGAGCACTGGTGGGCTGGCACTGCTGGGCACTGATCATCAGGGCACTGATCATCAGTGCCCTGATCATCAGTGCCGATCTGTTCTCTGACAATTGCCGGTTATCGGCAGTACTTACCCAGTGATCTGTATTAACCCAGTGATCTGCTGTATTATTGAACACAGCTGATCACGTGGTAAAAAGCCGCTGTGATTGGCCTTTTACCACATCATGTGATCAGCTGTGTCCATAGGACACAGCGATCATGGAGATAGCTGGATGTGCATCGCTGGGTGCTCGCGGGAGGGTAAGTTATAGGAGGACATCATATGACGCCCTTCCCAGAACTGGACAACTGCTCTGTAGCCATCATTCGGCTATAGCACGGTTGCCAAGTGGTTAAGAGAGAACATAGGTCGAGGATGGGAGCAAGGGAATATTCAATCACTAGCCAAGGTATGGCATATTAGGGTAAAAACCAATGTTTGAGTTGGTCCAGGTTGGCAGCCAGGTAATAGTCTTTGATATCTATCATTCCCATCCCTCCTGCTCATCTATGTTTAATCAAAAGAGCATGAGAGCATCTAGACCTTGCCATATGAACTGTTTAAGGGAAGTATTCAGGGCATGAATGTATTTGAAAGGGATGGGAGTGGTCAGTGTCCTGAAAAGGTAAAGAATTTGAGGAAGAATAAACATTTTGTAGGATGCAAGGCGGCCTGACCAGGTTAATTTAAATTTAGCTAGGCGAGCCAGTTCCTGTGATATTTTTTTAGATAAATTCTAAATATTAACTGGGCAAGTTGTTTTGTGGAAGGGGTCAGAGTTATACCCAAATATGGGACTCCTTCGGAGGTCCATACATAAGGGAGCGAGACTTGTACTCTTATCCGGTTCAGGGGTACCCAAGTCTAAAATTAATGATTTTGAGAAATTGACTTTGTAGTAAGAGATGTTACTGAAACTAGATAGAATGTGATGTGCCTGTGGTAAAGAAATGCGAAGATTAGTGAGGATAATAATGTCATCCGCAAAGAGGTTAATTGAATGGACTGATTGGCCAATGTGGAATCCTGTGATTTGGGGGTGCAAGGGTATGGCCCCAGCAAGGGGTTCTATCAACAGTTTAAATATGAAGGGGGACAATGGGCATCCATGGTGTGTACCGTTTGTAATGTGAAATGATGTAGAGAGAAGATTAGAGGTGTATTCCTGCAGAGATGGGCATGAGTACAGAGCCAGGATGGCTGATAGAATGGGTCCTTGAAATCCAAACTTGGACAATACACTTGTCATATACCCCAAGTGGATCCAATTGAACGCCTTCTCCGTGTCCAGTGAGAGCAGCAGGGAAGGCGTTCAATGGGTCTCAGCATGGTGTAGAAGATTAATCAAGCGTCTAGTAGCATCAGAAGCCTGCTTGCCTTTGGTGAATCCAGTTTTCTCTGGTTTGATCAGTTCAGGAAGGATGTTAAATGAGTAAACAGTTTAGCGTATATCTTAACATCAGTATTAAGCAAAGAGATAGGCCTAAAGTTGGCAGGGGACATCTGTTCCTTGCCAGGTTTAGGAATGGTTACCACATAAGCTCTCAGTATCTCCGGGGGAAAGGAAGCTTGAGATACACCATTTTGAAAAATAGAGCATAGGTGTGGGGTCAGTTGGGCTTTATAGAGTATGTAATAATCATTTGTACAGCCATCGGGACCTGGGGCTTTCACATTAGGGAGAGAATCAATAACTTTGATAATCTAATTCGTGGTAAAGGGGGAATTCAGAGTAGAAAAGGTGTTCCTCAGATAGGGTTGGGAGTTGCAGCCAAGCCAAGAAGTCACTAATGACCTGAGTATTGGATTGGGGATAAGTGGGTCATTTTTAAGATTATACAAAGTACTGTAATAATCTGAAAATTAATTTTCAATGTCTTAGGGATTGGTGACTTTATGCTTAGTGAGAGGATGGAGGAGGTGGGATATTTTTGATTTAGCCTTATGCGATTTAAGTCTGTTAGCTAAAAGTTTTCCGGCCCGGTTGCCATTTGAGTAATGTTTAATTTTGATGGTTCTTGCAGATTTAGCATACCATTCAAAAAGAAGTCCTCTCAATTCCAGTTTAAGTTTGTGAAGGGTAGAGGAACATGTTGGATCAAAGCTTGCTTTAGTGTCTAATTCTAGCATATGGATGCTAGAAAGGATTGAGTTTAAATGAAGGTTATAGTGTTTCTTGCCTCTGGCACAAAGTTGAAGTATTATACCTCTCATGTAAGCCTTATTGGCATTCCAAAGTAAGGAGTTGTCATGAGAGGAGACAGAATTTGTTTCAAAATAATCCCAAAGATGCTGGGTAAGCAGAGTCACATTAGCAGGGGTGTTGATAACTTTAGATTTGCATTGCCATGGGCATAGCAGACAAAAGGATTCCTTCTCCTGTTTGTATAAAGAAATGACCGCATGGTCCAACCATGTGATGTCGAAAATAGAGGAGGACGAGGACTGCTGAAGTAGCCATTTATCTGTCAAAAACAAATCTATGCCAGTATACAGTGCCTTGAAAAAGTATTCATACCCCTTGAAATTTTCCACATTCTGTCATGTTACAACCAAAAATGTAAATGTATTTTATTGGGATTTTATGTAATAGACCAACACAAAGTGGCACATAATTGTGAAGTGGAAGGAAAATGATAAATGGTTTTCAACATTTTTTACAAATAAATATCTGAAAAGTGTAGTGTGCATTTGTATTCAGCCCCTTTACTCTGATACCCCTAACTAAAATCTAGGGAAACCAATTGCCTTCAGAAGTCACCTAATTAGTAAATATAGTCCATATTTGTGTAGTTTAATCTCAGTATTAATACAGCTGTTCTGTATTAGAGAACATTAGTGAACAAACACTCTGCCTCACTCTATCACCCACTTCACAGAGTTCCCCTTTAGAACCGTGGCTGCAGGAGAGCATGTCGGCTTGTAGTGATGCTCTAAGGGACAGGGAGCATATCTTTCAGTGTAGCGTCTGACACCGACTGGCCTGTAGTAGGCAAGTTTGCTGTCAGGTCAGAACGATCTGGATGAGGAGGAGAAATAGTTTGATATGCTTCTACCTCCATGCCCACGTGGGCGAATGGATCCTCATCTGCTTCTATGCGGGGTCTGGACTTAGCTGGGTTGAGGGTAGATGGTGTTGTGGTACCAGAGCCCAAGAGTTCAGCTGGATTGCACTGCTTGGTCATCTCCATGTTGCGATGGCTGTGTGTGACAAGCTCAGTGTGCAGTCTGACCTGCTGTGAGGAGCGGCCGCCACTGCCATCTTGCCGGAGCCTCTGGGGGAGAGGAGGGAAAAATCCCTCCAATTTCCTGGGCACAGGGGTTTCTTTTCACCGCTGAGGCATTCTGAGGGGTCCCCAGTATGTGAGGAAGTTGATGGATGGGCACAGGGATGTCAGTGAGCCTTTGTATGATGGTGAGATCTCCCCAGGTTTGGAGCAGAGCTGCCTCACTTAGCGGCCATCTTCTAGTGAGCCAGCTCCGCATTTCTCTTTTCAACCCCTTTAAGACATCCTTCTTTTTTCAAAACTTTGAGCAATGCAGAAGATAGCATCTCTGAGCTGATGTATTTGGGGGATAGATATGTTCACTCTTCATAAAGTTGTAGCCATTCTTACAGCTTCTACTGTCCATCTTCCACATGCCAATTCTGATCTCACACCCAAAATACATGATAATTATTTTCATAATTACTGAAACCTTTTCGATTTATATGGGTGTGAAAAAAAAACTATACAAAGTTGTTTGGATGTATATGGAGGAGGGTGAGCATAAAGAAAATGAACCATCCTGGGTAGGTGTATGGTACTGGTTTCTTCCTACTCACTCGCCTGCTCTGCTCATACCCCGTATGCACAAAGTAGACATGTGCAGAAGGAAAAAAAATGTGTTTTGTTATTTAAATTTAATTTAGTTAAATTTGCTGAATTTGTTTAATTTGTGTTTGGAATTTGTTTAGTTACATTTCCTTTATTTGTTTTTTAATTCAATTTGACTGAGTCAAAAAGTATCAAATCGGCATTAGAATTCAAACTGATTTTATTCGAATTTCAGAAGACGGTTACATCCTATTTTATTCTATTCTATTCTATTGTTTTTTCTATTCTATTCTAATCTGTTATGTTTTACTGTATTCTTTTCTATTCTATTCTTTTCAAAATTCGAATTTCAGGAAGTGGCTATACAGTATTCTATTCTTTTCTATTCTACTGTATTCTTTTCTATTCTATTCCTTTAATTTCTATTCCATTTTATTCTATGTTATTCTGTTCTGTTTTACTCTATTCTTTTCGAAATTCAAATTTCGTGAGATGGCTATTTTCTAACACTAATACACACAGTCTTCGAAGGAAATTAGCAATAGTCAGCAATTTGTTCATATGTCAAGTTTTTTTTCAAATTTGTTTCCTAATTCAATTTTGTTTTCAAATTCAAACTTGTTTTCAAATGAAATTTGAATTGTGACTGAAATGTAATTTCATTATTTCGGATTCATTTAATTTGTTACTATTGTAATTCAGAAATTCTGATACATCCAAATTTCTGAATAGCGAAAAAATTTGTCCGAAGTTCGATTCAGAACAAATTGAACCCCACATGTCTAGCACAAAGCCACTCCAAGGCAGACCCTACCAGAGCCATAAATCAGTAATGTTTTTTTCTCTCCTCACGTGGATGTGGGAGGACTCATAGAATGGCCAGTGAGGAGTAACATACAGAGTGTGTATACAACCAACTCCTAAAGATAATGAGAATGGTTAATATGTAAATATAGAATCAACATTTATATATTGATAGAAAATGATTAGTCTTTGTTTTTCAAAACACACACACAGATTTTTTTTTTGATTGAAAAACAACATGATACTTTGTAATCGGGGTACATCTCACCCTGTACTGCGACGCAGCGCACCACATTGCAATACAGTTCCAAGCATACGATAAATACATTCAGAAATAAATACATTCGCTCAGCGGTATGATGCCTGACGTGGAGGAGGATGAATCC